CTTTTTTCCCTAGACTGAAGTCAAAATGATGTCCCAAAAATGTCCACAACCACAAATAAACAGAAAGGGACTGGCAGTGACAAGAAAGCGAGACTAGACGACTCCTCTTATTAAATCCACTTTCAAACAAGTTTTTTGCTTAGTTGAAGTTCTCGGCGAGCCATCCTGAGAATGGCTGATTTCAGTTATAGTTTTCGTAAGAGTTATACGGCACTTGTGCAACACAAATAGGTCATATACATGGCGAAGATTGGACTGCGTTTAGTTTTAGTTAGTAAGAGTTTTACGGCTCTTGCAACACAATAAGGTCATACAAGTGCCGAAGATTAGAGAGTACTTACTTTACTTTTATCTGCCGCTTATAGTAATGTTATACCCTTTTGGGTGTCGCGGGATAAAAGAGACGTCTCTCTGTCGCCAGCCGGAGAGCTTGGGTCAGGGGGATGCCGTGGGTGGTTAATGTTTCCCCGACTCCATCTATCCAGGTCTTTCTCGGTCGCCATCTAGCCTTGTTGCCATTGAATTTTTGGATGTAGGCACGTTGTGCTGGATGGTGTGTTGGTAATCGTAAGAGATGTCCCAACCATTTGGTTCTTTGGTGTTGGATGTGATGCATGACATATTTTGTGCCCACCATTTCTTGGATTACAGAGTTTCTAATTTTGTCTCGCCTGGTCTTGTTTACTGCTTTTCTAAGACATCGCATTTCACAAGTTGTAATTCTTTGCTCTAACGTCTTGTTCGTGGTCCAAGTTTGGCAAGGGATGAATATGTTACAAGAGAGTAACAAACACAAAACAGGAGGAGAGATTAGAACGATAGGTGTTTGATCATTGATAGTAAAGAAGGAGTTTACCACACCAGAGCACCCGCCAAACACCAACAGACTGCGTTACTTGAGAGTAATATACAAAGAAAAGGAGAGATTAGGACATAGACGTCTGACAGGAATGAAGGAGCAAATCCCACTGGCGCACCCACCAACCACCCAAACCTATACTGATTTCACCAGAAGACACGACAAAAATAGAGATTAAAGGTATCGATTTCACAAAAGAAAAACAGAGTATGGTTTAAGTTGGAGTTAAAAAGGAACACACAAACGGGACAATAGCAATAAAGTGCTGGGGAAAAGATAGGAGTGGCAGAAAACACCAAGGGACAGCAAGTGATCAAGAAGGAAAGGAATAAGGCATATCAGTATCAGTGACCACTTCAACAACCTGTCACGACAGATTGACATGAAAAGTAAACAACCATACAAAACAAAAACTGCAATTTTGATACATGTAGTCTTTTTGTTTTAATGTAGGTTTTTCTTACCCCCACATCGACACAATTTAAATTCTTTAGGAGGCGGGCTTCCCACCCTACCTGCCTGTCAGGGCCAGCCTGGGCTGAAAAGGATACAACATCATAGCAGAAAGACCAAGATACTCGATAAAAATGGGCTCTCCACTCAGGATTCCTGCATGCGACAGCAAAGCGCCTAACCGCTACACCATAGATGCCCATTTTTAAAAAATGACAGAACAGTGGAAGAGAAGGAATTAGAATCAACTACGAACCACATATTGTAAAACGAGGCAGGCTCATAGCTGAAGAGAAAGATGGAGTATCACGGAGCACTGTGAAAAACAGCTAGACCTATCAGAAAACAAGAAAAAATACTCAATATTTTTTTTTTCATTTTATTGAATTCTTTGTATGGCAAAATGTTGAAAATGAACATGATAACACCACAGGAAACTCACAACAGGGTGGTCAACATCTTATAAACAATATTGTACTTCATGTATTTTGTAATATAAAATTTTTAAACATTATATATACCAGGATAGTTAAAAGCATAAAAGATACCATAGCAAACAAAGTGTGAATACACAAACAGTAAGCATGTTCTGCACAGATAAATAAACACTAATTTGTAAAAGTGTATACATTATGAAAAAAAGACAATGACCTTTAGTTGCTTGAGAAAAGACGAAACGATAAAAATATGAACAATCTAGCCCCTTATACCCTACAATGCATTATTTTCTCTACATTGAAGCAAGACTTGAAAAGCCAAAAGAAAAATACACAGCTTTCCAGCGCGTCTCACTAAATACTTCATTTTTAAAAACTTTAACTCTTCCATCAACAGTTGGAAATATACACCTCCTGTTCCAATGAAAGCCACAAGTGCCAGCTTCTCCAAGTCACATATTCAAAAGTAACCCTAAAGCATGCGCCAGACACCCAGCAGCTATGGGAACAGCTTCCTGAGGTGTCCGTGAGACAACCAAGCATGCTGACACTGAGGCCAGGTCAAGCAACAGAGCTGTGAAGCCAAAATTTCTATTATAAAAGAAGATAAATTTCTACAGGAATTTTGAAGAATACGATAAAGTAAATTTTATCTGCCTAAATTTGCTTTGAGGGCATGTGGTAAGAGCAAAGAACGGGGAAATTACGATTAGGTTTAAATATCAGAGCATGATCTTCTGTTACTTTGTTTATTTACATTTACAAGTTTGGCCACTACAAGGAAAAGCAAAAATACTAATCTTCAAACATTGGGAGGGGGGGGGGGGGGGGGTAGGGGAAGGAACAACAACCCAAAAGGTTTGGCACAGCATACTTTTTTGTTGAAAGATTTCGTTCCATCTTTCTAAACTTAAAACCACTAGAAACTTATGAGTAGAAGACTCAGCTTCCCCAACGCACACATCCATCATTATTGACATGACATAAGATATAGAAATTCATCCACTTGAAACTCCACATCAGCGGAGGTGGAAGAAGTAAGGAATGAGGCACTTCATTTCCAAACAAGTACAATATTTAGTACACAGTTTTGATCATCACAATATCCGTTACCGGGGGAGGAGGAAAAAAAGGAAAGAAAAAAAAAGAAACCACTCTTTATCAATTCTTGTTCTTCAGCCCATTGAAAAAAAGGTGACAAGTGACCGTACTGAACAAATTATTCAACCTTTTCTTTTTAATGTTAATTTTTGCTATTCGGTAGCATTCAGTTTTCTTTATCTTTACTTTCTTCTTTACAAATTTTCAAAACAATAAATTTGTTTGTACAATTTGAAGCAACCCCCCCCCCCCCAAAAAAAAAAACAACAAAAAAAACAACAACAAATCCCAACACTTTACCCTTTCCGAGAGAGCAAGTGGAAGTACTATAGTCCTAAAAACGTCCCTACAAAAAGAATGACATATCTAGCAAATGCCTCAATACACAATAAGAATTGTTCAAGTTGGACTGGTATCACATATAAATATAAAGACCATGTTGACACACAAGAAGAAGAATAAAGCCTAGAGAACAAAGTGCAAAGCATTAACTAGTGCATTGAAATGTATAGTGCTGTTGCAACATACCTCGAACCGGCATCTCCAAAACAATCAATGTGCAAACTATTATATTATATATTTCATTAACGGTGGACAGGGGCTCAGTACCAATAACCCTCACTACCAACGACCCAACTTGAGACTGAGAGCTTCCTGACTCATCTACAACACCATCAAGAAGTGACAGCAGGACACACTGTAAAAATCAGTTTGTTTGACTGAATTCCTCCAAGTTCTTGTTTTCATTCTTTTAGAGCACTTTCTCTATGCTAGCAATCAGTATCAGGATAGCAATTGTTCTTTGTTATGTTCACATGAAAGTGATGAGTCTTCAGGAGAAACATAGCCACAAAAATCACCATCTATCATGCATCCCATACAGATGATGCTATACTGTAACCACGTACCAGCCAGAACTAGGTCAACAAGTTTTCACTTGCAAAATGGTTGCCAATTTTCAGTGGGTCCTCAACAGGAATCGTTTTTCATGATAAGGACATCCATTTACAAGTTATTTAGCTATGAATGAAACATTCTTGAAATTAATTTTTTTTTCCCCTGTTGAAATTTTTTTAAGAAACCAAAAACATGACCAAAGGATAACACCACTGATATGATACAATGCCTAAAGAAATTCTCTTTAAGAAATCAACCAGGACTGCTTCCCATACCCTTCACGCTTTTTGTTTTTTTTACACAATTGTAGAAAAACACATTCCCCTGCTGCACAGATGGAGTGTTGACATTCTGATGGTGACTAACATCTGAACTAGAGCTGTGCTCTTCAGCAAATGAGGGCTTGACAGTATAGTTCTATAAACGGGACTCAAGACTATTGTCCATGAAAAGCACATACATCCTCTAAAAATCTCCCAAGTTGAGACAGGAACACCACAAAATGTTGGCGGTTTTTCCCCCCCTCCCTCAAAATAACTACCGGTATCCCTTGTGTAGCTTTGACATCGCACACAGAGGATGTGAGTTTAATTCCCATGTGAGGTCGATTCCCATCTGGGGAGGATTTTCATCGAGTATCCCTCAGGCAGAGTTGAAACACTCCCGTAACATGACATAAATAGTACTGATGTTTGTGGAAAACTATAATTCACTTCAAATGGACTGATTATTGTATGAAGGCAATATTATCATGTCTTTAGCTGAAAAGAGAAAACAAAAATCCCTGCTTGCTGTCCCTTTAATTTTCAAGATACAAGAGGTCACTCCAGCTTTTCAGCAGTTCGCATCTAAGACACTTGACTCTTTACTTTTGGCGTGCACAGAAATGTTCGTCTCTCATTTTGATGTCATTAAATTGAGCATGCATCTTCAAAGCAAGTTCATGGTCATCCAATGGTATTGTGCTACAAAAGTTCATGGAATGTCTTTGTTTCACAGGGTCTACACCAATCAAACTTGCATGATTAAATAAGGATCTTTGATAAAAATCAAAATGAACTAGTGAATCACTTTTTGGCACTTAAATAATAATTTAGTCATAAATAAAGTTGCCCCAAAACAGTAAGCTCACAATAAATTTGTTGACAAGCTTTCTGTGGCATCCTAAATCACAAGAATCATAAAGTTTACAGTCTAAATTTTTGCCCTCATTCTGGTAACAAATTGGGGGGGGGGGTTTGTTTTTTTCTTTTCTTTCAAATTTTCTACCCCCTAGTTTTCAATTACTATATTCATTAATATTAAAAAGTATTTCTATAATTGATTTTTCTATTAACACACCATCTGCCCCTCTGGTTTCTACATGAGGTAATAAAGTGATCACATACCATGCTGAAATAAAACTACCTATTCACAGGCGCATAATGTTTAGTACCCCTCCATATCAACCTAAAAAGTCACGCTGAAGAAAACTCACAAAACCAGCCGCTTGGTTTATAAAATACTGTAGTTACAGAATGAGAGCAAAAATCATTACGGAAATTGATCACAGAACTTTGTCAAAACAAACACAGAATATCTGTACTTGTTATTCCTTTGGGTATGTGTGTGTTTCAATTTTGTTTGAAGAAAGAAATGTGATAAGAGTGAAAACAAAAATGAAAACAAAAAGAAAGGAACACTGAAATAATCAAATATACAAAGATTGGTGAAAAGTATATAATCAAATGTGTGCATTCACAAGAAAGAAAAGCTAATGAACACCAGTTACTCAACATGAACATTAAAACTATGGGTAAGATTGGAACAGAGGTCTCTGGTAAACATCTACATTATTGACCTTCTCCATGGCCCTAGAAGCCTGTCATCAAGCAATCTTTTTCTATAGTTCTCTGCTGTTGGGGTCCCGAAATGGGACAGACCTATGCTCAGGAGTCAATGCCACTATCCACAGTTTGAGAGGATATTGGAACAGACTCATTACAGTAAAACAAATATAATTCTGCATCAACGAAAAGAAGGGCATCAATGGGAGAGAAGAGAAATTTAAAACAAGGAACTACAGCAAATTGCCAGACTCGCACCAAATTCAGTAAAAAGATTAAGCCCAGTTTGAAATATGGAAGTGTAGTCGGAGACTGAACAGCACTCTGCCAATGGTAAGCCTATTAACTCCCCCAAACCATCAGTTGTCTCAGATATAGACTGTATTCTAGAAAATAAGTAGATTATGAGCTATACAATAACAATGTAGAGGCCAACAAAATAGTAAATGCCACACCCACTGCCCACATTTACAATATCAAACTAAACAACAAAGGCATTAAAAAAAAAAAGATATATGTATGTAGATACGTAGATATCTATGAGAACATAAACAAGGAAATATACTTGAAAAAGTTCAGAACATTTATAAACATGCATCACAAGTAATTATTTTGTCCACGACTAGTTGAAGGATATTTTGTGACTGGCCAAGGCTGCAGCAGACAGAAAAGCCCCACATGATGATTGCATCTGACAAATACACTCACGAACAGACAATGCACAAGCCTTCCTCGAAATCATATATATGTGAATTTGTACTCTACATCCCGTTCAACATAAAATAAAATTTCTCCACTGCTTGATGTGCAAGAAAGAGCTAAGCCTGACAAGAAAGTAGTTGGCAAAATTACATGCTTGGCATTCTACTTAAAACAATGAATGAGCCCAAAGATCAGAAAATATTCAAGGTCTTTCCTCCATCTCCCTTTGCCGTTGGGTTCACAGACAGGACAATCTATATCTCAAGTATTTTAGTCCCACATTTTGTGTACTACGTATTCCAACAGCCTCTATCTGAAACTACCACAACCCATTTCGTGGTAAGGCACTATTCAGGCCAGCAAGAGAAGCCATCAATCCTCAAGCACTCAGCAGAAACAGCTGCCAACTAAAAGGAGTGGCCACAGATTTGTATCACACCTTTATTACATCAGCTTTATTTATGAGAAGTGCATGATGGCTGACGGTGCAGCCTGAGAGGCAAGTGAAAAAAAAATTGATGCTCTACAAAAAGTACTTTTTAAATGCTAACAACCAGATTGAAATTGAGAGAAATTTTTAAAAAAACAAATTAATCTTCATATACAGAGGTCACACATGCAATTAAGAAAAGTGAGGGCATATTTACTGTGCAGTACATTTACCAGTGACAAGGAGAAAAGTAGAAGGTTTACATAAAAGAGGCAAGTGACTGCACTCATGACAAGAGCCCCAAGGACCACCCTTTTACCTCAGCAATCGACTGAGCATCATCGTGTCATGTATGAACTTCCACATAAACTATCAACATGTACCCAACGACAATGAGAGAGAGGGTTGGACTGAAAGGCCTTTCTCTTTGCACAACCACCAGTTGAATGCAACTAGCAATTAAAGAATGTGCAGAGGTAGCTAATGCGGAGTCAGCACTAGGAGTACATACACCCCCACCCAAAGCCAGATAAAGAAAAGAAGGTTTCCACTTCTGATAGTGAGAGAACAGACAACTTGCAACCACTCACATCTGAATGAAAAACCTCTCAACCGTATAAACCTAGAAGGAAAAACCTGCATACTGCATTCAGTGTGAGAGAAAACAGGCAGGAAGAGCTACAGTATCATGTGGCACAATCCACAAGATCACAGAAATCAAGGAGAAAAAAAGAAATCTTCCAAAAGGCCTACTGACCTGATGACCTGTATACCTAACAAGATTACTGTCTACTGTGAACTGTGACTGCCAAATAGCTAGCAGTGAAACTGTTGCAGCCATTCCTTTATAGGCTAAAAAAAAGGGCCAGTATTCAAATTTACAGACTGTTTTCTTATTTTGTAGCTTCATGTGCTACAATTTTAGTTTTCTGCTGAATTTAAAACATACAGAAATATACCACACATTTCAAGATTTCACTATCAGTACTCTTGGTAGCATCATTCTCAGGCACATACATTAACTCTTTAGTTTTTTCAAATAACGTGCAATGCTCCTTTTTTCTTAGAAACATATCCTTGAGGACAAAACTAACCATTTTGACAATAGTATATGTCTGATCAGCACCAATAATGTTGTGAATAACTTTTAGTGAAAGAAAAGTCAGAGACATGTACCTCAGCGCCTGCTCCTCTTTCTGAAAACACAAAAGGAAAGATGAAAACCTGTTGTCTGTATCACTGCTTCATATCACAAAAAAATGATAAAATCTTTAAAACAAATTAATCACTTAAAAAGGGGAAAAGACTAGGAGATACACTTTCAAAGATTTTCTGAGACAATAAAACAGACCCAAACTAGAAACCTTCACAGTGTGGAGCAGTTTCATCAAACAACAGTCAAAAAATGTCTCTGTGTGCAAAATGTACAGAAAGCAACCAAAGAGCACTTTCAGATCTGAAGTGAACATACGAATCATTTTGGCAGCCTCAAGCCAAACTTTGACCTACAAAATCTAAATCACTAAGATTCCGGCCATGAATGAGAAATACATCAACACAGCTATCTTCCTATACAACAAACACTGAACACTTGTCTCAGTTGAAACACAATTTATTCTGTCAGGACCTAAATCATAACAGCTGAACGATGTAATCATTTGATTGATCACTATCACTTAATATTTTAAAATATTTCCTTTATTTCCAAAAGAAAAGAAAAAAATAAACTACTGCTTGCAACTTTCAAATCTGTAACCTCTTTTAATTGAAAAAGATACATCAAAATCTGTACAAGGGACTCTGGGGTGCTACTTATTGAAGAAATGTCACTACTTAAGTAAGGCACAGCGTTCACTAGACCAATGAATCTGTAGATAATCCAGCATCGTTTGCCCATCACCCGTAGAGGCGTTCTGAGTAGCCATCCATGTGCTCAAATAATTGAAGTCATGTGGACATGAAGAGGACAGTATAATGTATGACTTTTCACCAGACCAGGAGATGCAGTGTGAGAGCATAATGATTGGCAAATGTGTCTGGACGGCCAATTTGTTCATATGAATGATTAAAGAAAGAAAGAGAGAAAGAAGTTTCACTCTCGACATTACACTGGGAGAAGCCAAAGCACCCTTATCACAATGCACTCTGGTAGTCTTTGGGCCATCCTCAACACAGACCATTCTCTTTTCTACTCAAGATTGTGATTCCATCACGCAAAGATGAAGTATGCAAACAATACCAGAGCTGGGCGGTGGAGCCAAAAATTAAAGGCCAGTGAGAAAGACAGAAAGAAAGAGGAAAATAGCATTGTCAGATTTTTATTTTTTTTTTTTTTTTTACAGTCACTTTGAAATCGCAAAGGCAAGTGATAATATTATATATAAAAGCATTTTTCCCCCAACCCTTATATCTCATAAAGTATGTACATGTACCACTCTTGTCAATTTTAAGCCACAGATTACACAAGACATAAACCCATAGCCATTCAGATCAAAATTAAAACCACCCTTAACATGACAAATTAAATAAAAGTGAGTTCAAACAACAGTATTAAAACAGCAAGATTACTTCACTTCCATATAATCCACTCTCATGTCACATGCATCGGTTAATTACCATTGTGTATTATTGCCCATTCTGAACCTAACTAGCCACACCTTCATAGAGCACACACTCTTTCAAAACTGAAGTCATATCAACTGTGAAAGTATTGGACAGTAGTGTTGTCCTCAGCAGCTAAAATCTAAAGTGAAATGAACCAGTACCTTGGGACATATTTAGAAGAAAAAATTGCAGACATAAGCCAAAGACTAAGTCTTGAAATATAGGATCTTGCTAAATTTTCCTGCAGCAATGTCGTTGTTCGACTTTACACATCAATTCGACAAAACTTTTCAAAATTAGCAATAAGATTTAGAAGTGAACTTGAAACCTGGTACAGAACAATGCAAACAGAAGGGAGCAAACAAAAATAACTGACTTACAAATGTAAAAGGTCTGTACTGACTTGCAATATAAGTGAACAATGGAAACAGGAAAAAAGATCAACAAAAAAGAGTCACCATGAAGTACTGTAACATAAGCCAGAAGCACGCAAATTGTATCACCGGATCAAATGTTCAAATAGACTTTGATTGAATCTACTCCAAGACAGCAGTCATCCCAGGCCCCCTTGACAATGTGAAACCACCACAAAACTGCCACTTTGCCTTCTAAAGTTACTTGGGCAGTGGAAAAAGTATCCAAGACACTCCTGTTGCGAAATATTGACCAAAATGCAGCCCCTAGCTATGGCAATGTAGAATAATGGGATACTAATTTGCATCCTGTCATTCTATTTCCTTCGTTCGTAAAAAAAAAAGGAAGTGGCATATATGATGTGAACAGCTTTATGAAGGTTACATTGTTCAAAGAAATGAAAACAAAACCACTGAAACAAATTGAAAATTCAAAGAAAAATCTCAAACAGCTTGACTTTCAACAACATTTGTTTTGTTTTTTCCTTCTTCACAGAACATGGAACTTTTAAATATAAGAGCCTCGAAACCAAAGAAAAATACAATTTTCTCTCTATCAGGACACTGTGACATCTTTTTTGACACCTCACTATTCTCTAAAACAGTTCATTGACCACATGGAAAGTTTCAGCAACACTTCAGTATAAAAATAAATGGATAAAAGCAATACAAAAGTATACCTTACAATCTACAGGGACAAAAATTGCAGTAAAAAAGACGAGCAAAAAATTGTACAGACATTTCAGACACAGACACCAAGAGGAAACACAAAGGCCAACCACAGCAGATCATCACCGTTCAAAATATGACACAGCATCACCTCCATGTCACTACACAGAATCAGTTAGGAATGCTTTTATAGCTCTCCTTTGCTAAAGATGACATAATTAGACAGGTAACATTCATTGCACAGACAAGGCACACGCATTGACAACTGAGTCACAAGAACATACACACCTCGTCTATGACCACACAAGAAAGGCGAGCAGTGACAGACGACAGTTGCAACATTAAAACAATATCTCCACCCCCCCCCCCCTTCAAACTCTTCAATGCACCAATACAAAGCCAACACAAGGTGCACAACATAAAATAATAGCATCTCATGACACAAAAGGAATGGGTGACAACAGCAGTGGGTGATCAACATGCTGAGTGATAAATGAGAAACAAGGCCATAATCTGCGACTGCTGTCAATGCAAAAATTGCACACTGTATCCTGCCTGCCATTGAGATTTTGAGCTCAAAACCAACAGATGTGTACTACCAATGTTTTCCTTTCTGTATGATCACTCTTACCACACGATGGTGCTGGAGACGCTTCAAGGAGGTTAAGACCTCAATGGCATACATTATATGAACATTGGAACCTATTAAATACTGCATTTTTTCCACAGAGTTGTTTCCACAGAGTTGTGAGCAAGAGGAATGAGAAAGTCTGAGATTAAAAACAAAAACCCTGGCCATACATCAGATTATCATTTTATGTCCAATCAGTCATAATGATTATTCCACATTAAGAGTATCGGTCTATACACATATATATTCATGCCAGTGTAAAGTCATTTAGATAAGATTGACAAGTCTACTTTCAGGTATTTTCCTATTTGAAGGGCAAGTTGTTACAAGACTAGAATCAAGCTTTCAACACTGTATATATTTCGTCTTACATAATTTGAAAGATCACTTCCAACTACAGCAAAAAAGACCCCTCTTTTATAAAAGTGATATATGGATTAAATTTTTCCCTTCCTAAAAACGATAAATCTGATGTGATGTGTTACTACGAAATGCAGTTCACATGAAAAAGGCGCATCTGCCAGAAAATAAATGCAGAAAACCAAGCATAAAGCAGGGCTGCCCACTCACCAGCATATATGTTTTAGTAATCAGCAAATAGATAATTAGCAATCTGGCTTAAAAATTCGTAATAGAGCTATGGATCGTCTTTTTCTACGGGGTTGGGGTTTCAAGGACAGGGGTTTAGTCAGGCAAGTGTAAAAGTAACTCAAGTGAAAACAAAGGCATGATGAAAAAAAAAGGTCTTGATGGGCTCGTCACCGGTGGAGTTAAATTAAAAAAAGGTAAGAAATGGGGGCTTTTGTACTATGTTTCAAACACTGATCCTTCTTTATAAAAATATCTTTCACTGGCCTTAGCTGTCATACACAGCATAAAAAGACAGGAATTTGCTAACACCCTGTCAACCTAATGTTTACCTTACTCCTGGATTCAGCACTTCTAAAATCTTAAGTTTTTCTTGGGGCAAACTGGCACTGAACGACTACAAGGCTCAAGGCAAAGAGGATGTTAAAGTTAGACATCTTCAAGTGACATAGTGACGTAGACTGTCTGGGTATGTAGTTTTTCTTCCCTTATACACTGGGAAGGTTGGCAGTGAGTTGGGATAACAGAAACTTTCTAAAATCAGAATCAGAGGTAAAACAATCGTATTTTCGTAAAATTGAATAAAAATCATGACTATTCCACCAAATTCGTAGCGATGGGCAGCCCTGATAAACACTGCAGCGTGACCTGCTCTCAAACGATCATTCTAAGAAATCCTAAGACCCCCAAAAAGAAAATCATCACATCTTCATATGCAGAAGATTCCATAACAGAAGCATACAACGCAAACTGTCCACTATTTGTGACAAAAGAAAGCAAAGAATGCCTCAAACTTTGACATTTGTCCAGCAGACAACAGCAACTCCTCTCAACGACTAATACTAAAAGAGCACAGCAGTCACATGAACTTTTGTTTCTGCTGTACAAAGACCACAGCACCCGCTCTGCAGAGAGCAGAGAGCATAACAGCAACAACTAGAAGTGCATCCACACTAAAGGACAAAAGATCCCAATTAGACCCTCACAAATAATTATTTCTTGTCGTTTACTATAAGCATCCTTAAGCAATACAGCTCATTACCTATTCCTCTAAATATCACAAAATCAATTCCATCACATTCAATTTTTCAGGTAGTAAAATTCCTTAACATTTGAAGACTGATTCTGCATCAACAGTTGTCTTACCTACATTTAACATAACTTTAAACATGAGAGTTAAGTCTATAAAGAGTTCAAAGACACACACAATTTTCTTTTTCTCACTGAAGACACAATTAAGCATACATCATCTTTCCTCTTTACAGTAAAGGACAATTCATCTGGCATCATTACCCATCAAAGCATTGTTCATAATATTTCCTAAATTGTTTTTCCCCCTAAAATACTCTTTATGATTTACTCTTGCCAATGCAATATTGATATTCTGCAAAGACGACATGATGAGTTTAAAAAAAGCTAGCACGAAATACTATATTTCTTCCTTTGTTCTTTCAGCTCAACTCAAAACAAGGCTTTCATTAAATTAAAAAGTAAGCCTGCGCAGCTCCAGAAATGAAGACATCTTCATTTTAACATGCGTTATTGTTGATGAAGAGCAGTGACCATAAGATGAAATGAAAAAAAGAAAAGAAACTGTACTGAAGAATGCTGTGTCTTCCAAAAAGTTATCTTTCATCCATAATAAACCTGAGCATATCAATAAGTTTGCATTAAATAAAGACAACACCATAACAACAGACATTTAAAAAAAAAACAACTGAATACGTTGGTTTGAGGAAAGAAAAAAGTGGTATAACATTCCCATGTGAAATGACCTACGAGTTTCTGCATTATGAGAAGAAATGATAAAAATGACAATAAAAGAATTTCATTCATGAGCAGTCAATCGAAGTGAAGCAGAAGCTGAGACATGCTGAAAGCGCTAATAAACCAATTAACCTTCCATACAGATGACAGCTGAAAGGATGCAGTGAACAGATACAAAAACCAGTACTTTACAAACAATACAGATTTCTATGCTTTATGAACAATACTAGGCTTTTACTTTACCAAATATTTTACCAAGTGTCGATTTGCGCAATTACCCAAAACTATGTAAACTAAGAATGCTTGAAACATGCCAAATGTATCTTTAATTTGCTTCCATCCACTTCAGTACTAGGGCCAAGCTGGGAAGAAAGAGGGAAGGAAGTATTGATTGATATACAATGAGTTAGGCTTGCTTCCCATGAGTAAATTTCTTTTATAATGATTCTTAAAAAAAGCATAATATTCCATCACAAATCACTTTAGCAAAAAATACCAATAAAGCAGAGGATAAAACAAAGTCCTTGTGATCTTACAGCTGCATCTGTGAGTCCTGTACATGTTCCTGGGTCTTTGTGAACACACAGCCACTAGAAGCAGGATCCACTGTCAGCAATCCTGTCCTACACGCACCCGTTCAGACTGCCAAGTGATTGTCAGCACACATTGTCGCCACCTAGAGCACCACAAGCACACACATGCACACCTGCACCACAACTCTCTGTGATCACCTACTTCGAAGAAACAAGCTGCTCCTCTCCCAGAATTTTCTGTCAATGTGCAGGAAACTCCACAGGCAGACCGACAGTGTTGGTGAACACATATAAGAGGATAAAAGCTGCGACATCTTGTCCGTGCTTAATAAACAGGGAAATTTTCGTCAGCAAACTTTAAAAGCTCTGATTAGAGCAAAGCGTACAAATGTAAGTCAAACACTTTTGTTCTGCCAGCCTGCATTTCGCAGGGCCTATTACAATCTGTCCAACTTGAAAGTGTCTTCTGTGGCAGGGTCGGCAACTAAACTAGCATCTGTTAACATCTGAATTTCTTCCAAATCTAACGGATCCAATCCAGCCTTGAAAGCTTCGTCATTGGTGAGAAAGTCAGTGTCAAATCCATCGGTCATGCCCGTGATGGCATTACCCAAATCTTTGGCAAAATCTAGAGGTAACCGACACAAGTCGTCAGCACCTGCAGACACAAAAAGATGGAAAGATTCAGTCTCAAAATACAACAACCTCACCCCCCCAAAAAAAACACACTACACCATCACATTCTTAGCGTTCCATCTCAAACGTACTCCATGAAAATTGCAGGTAAGGTCAAGGAGCATGAAATCCAGTTAATAATTTAGAGATCTGCATTATTTCAACTGCACATACCTAAACATTTAAAGTTACAAAATGCAGACATTTTAGGCTGTATAGAGGACAGAGAACAAAAGTCTAATAACTCAACTATGTAAAACATGACAATATTTTTTTCCAAAAGCCCTTCCCTATATCCTGAAAGCAACAGTCCTATAACATACAACTATTGAAAAACTTTTGTTGAAAGAAACAAATAAAACAAAATAATACTTTCGTTAAATCATGTCAATGGTTTAAAAATCCTTTTCATTTAATCATTTACACCTGCAGTGCAGAGTACCGGTATTCACACTGTGTGCCAAGAGTACCGGTATTCACACTGTGTGCCAGACACAAAAACCCAAGAGAAATAACCTCATTCTTCTTAACCTTTGCAACTATAGAGTATCAAAATATTAAATCCATATTAATTTGTAACAACAATAATAATAGTCACATTTGTGCAGTGCACACCCTCACTCTACAGTATGCTCTACATACTTTACAATTATTACCCCAGGGGACCCTAGAAGGTAACTCAGAAACATTCTCAGCTGCTCGGGGTAACATTTAGTATCACGGGAGTAAACATTTTCTAAAAGTAGCTAATAAGTAAACTTTTAAGTGAAGATCGACAGATTTGACAAGGGAACTCATCAATTCACAAAAAAAACTCCCAAACTTACCAAAACAACTTTCCAAATGAACAGAAACAACAAAAAGCCCCCATATAAGCCTTATAAAACCTAAACAACCTTTTCTATTCATTATCACCACATCATTCCCGCCAACAACAAAAATATTGAGCAAGAAGAAAAATACTTTTTCTCACAGAAACATGCAGTACAAAATATCATACGAGCTGACTGCTACAATCAATTTTTATGCAATATGGAGACCAACCCCTCCCCCAACCCCATTTATCCTTTGACTTAAAAAATAAACTCTTCAGGAAAGATATATCTTGTAAGCAATACATCTTCCTCTGCCTTACCAGTGAGAACAATGTCAGGAATCTTGCTGCCAGAAGTGGGTGAAGAAACAGAGTTGCTCTGGGCCATAGGCCGGCTGCTGGACACTGATGGGTGACTGCCCGATTGACCACTAGCCATCACATCAATAGGCCCCAGGAAATGTGGTTGGAAGAGGTCATCCGAGCTAGTCAGTCCCAGCATGGCTGCCTGCAGGTCAGAGAATTGAATGATATTTAAATGAGCTGCTCCGGTATTTATTTCAAAAATTCATTTGTGCTAAAAAAATTATGTATGGCCTTATGCCTCTTGACAGATGATCTCAATACTTATAGCACCAGCCTCACATTTGACTTTCAGTTCCCAAAAACAGGAGCTGCCGTCCTTTTTCTGACTGTATCAGAGGTAAGTCACTCAAATATGAATAACTCAGACCCTTGTTACGTTATAGACATGAAACTTCAACATTCTGTTTAAACTGTATCCCTTTATATGAACACATTTCCATTGAAAAAAATATTCTGGTTTCAGTCACTAAAGGGAAGATCTAATCAGTTATATCATGGTATGCTTTTGTCCAGACTCAGATCCAAATAGACATGAGAGATTAGATCTTGATTTACTTATAAGAGTAAATTGCTTCTCAATCAGAGATAATTGTTTCAAGATTTATTCTCGATCCTTTCCTCTCCCATCATCTGAAGACTCCCAAATAATCAAGGTCATTGTTCCAGTCATCTGCCTCTGCATCACAGTCTGCATCCATACAAATTTCGCTGAGCACCTCGGGTTTGTTGAAATACCTTTCTGAACTCATTTGTGAGCAAATATGGTGAAATCATGGGTCATTAACCCCTTCAATGCCGCAGGTAAATAGACCCCTGTGCTGGGAGAAATACCATGAACCAGGGCTTCTCAGGGGTGACCCTACTCTACCTCTCATAACTTTTTTATTTATGAATATTTCCTAATGAATTTCTGCATGTACCTTCTACGTTGAACCACATTTCTATTGATATAGAGATAGATGGAGAAAAGTTGGAGTTAGTAACATGATGCCAAAAACAACACCACAAAACAACATGAACAACACACATTCGAGTAATGATAAACTGAGACCAAAAAAAAGAAGAAGAATACATGTTGTGTGAGTGTTTACAGGTAAAAAAGAAGTGACAAGAGGCTTTCCCTACCTTATACAACACTCGTACAATCCATTTTAATACATATAAGCCCATCTGTGTTTACTGCCAGTAAATCATTTTTGTGTGGTAGATGTGTTACATCTAGATCTAATCTTCTCTTCCAGCTAAAATCTGAATCTGACGCTTTCAAATGGATGGGGGGGGGGGGGATGGAGGTAAACATAAAGGGAAGGCACCCCAATAATATGTACAAGACTTTAGCAGTAACTTCCCTTATAATTGGTATCTAAACAACCACTGTCACAGTCCCGTAAATTCTACGGGCCATAGGATCAGCGTTACATGGTTCAAGCCTGTAAATTCTATGAGAGCGGCAGCGAAAAGGTTAAATTAATTAAATCAAAGAAACTAGCATTTTCACGCCGGTTTGGCAATTTTTATTGAATTTTTGTTTTTTGATTCGACACCTCTAATGTCCATTTAAAAGCACATTTCTGTGTAGATTTTACAGAAAACCGTTGATTTAAGGCACTTTTTAAAAAAAGAGTGAATTTTCACTTTCCATGGACTGTCAAGCTAAGGAAGTCACCAAACTTTGGTGAACCCCTGAAACCAGGTGATCCCCATCTCGTTCTATGACAAACATCTCAACTTCTATTCAAGATAGATGTATATTTCTTTCATTGAAAGCACACAAATGAACAAGCTTTATGATGATACCAATAACTCCACAAACCCCAACGAGCTACCGATTCCACTGCGGCGTGACACATTTTATCATTTTCCCCATTTCACTGCCAGAAATCCTAAGCAAAATAGCTTAACAGAAAGCCAATCATCTATTATCCTTCTTTATATCATCACAGATGCTATTGAGTAAGGGTGAGCAAATCGAGCCCATGAACATGTGACTGCAAAAGCTGTTGTTACTGGTAAAGTATTAGTCCTTGATGAGGCACAGACCACCCATCGTCCACTCACCTGAGAGTACTGTAATGCTAATCCCGGCTGTTGGGAGAAGGCCATACTGTTGATGTTGTTAGCGCTACTGCTACTGACTAAACCCAGGCCGTTGCTGGTCATGACTGTGGAGCCCATGGTGGTTGGGTCCCCAGGAGGATTCTGAAGAAAGGTCAACAAGAAAACGGTCAAGAGTCATTCAACATTCAATTCCAATTTTTTTACAAGAACGTCTGTATTTCTCTTTCTTCTCTCCATAATTTTTACAATACAAAATCCCATAAGTTTTCAGAGAAATAGTGTACAAGTCTTTTATAAATACAAATAAATTTTAGGCTGATTTGTCAAAAAGTAGGCATTGAACTTACTTTATTGTAAACAGATACAGAAATACATCAAGAGAGAGAAAAATAGTTTCCTACTGCAGAAAGTTTCATCAATAACTGGTGGTCCTAAGTTGTGCATGTGCTTGGTGGCAAGCCAGAGATAAATATGACTGCTAACTCAGAAAGCCTCTTCAGTCTCTCTACAAGATGAAAGGGGTTCAACATTAAACCTATAGTTCTAGTAGCTTGCTAACTGATGCTTACAAGACACTTCATGAGGCTTGTTTTTTAATTTAACATTGGGTCAAAATATTTCGTATCATAAGGGTGCATACAGTTACTGAATTACTAAAAACCTCGAAAAGTAGAAACGTAACAAGCAGAAAGTGTTTTCATGCTAATGTTGATATTTTAAGCAAGATGAAAAAAAACCTTTGCAAAGAGTGAAAAGAAGCAATTCAAATCATAGCCTCACAGAACAAGAGAAGTATTTTCAATTGAAAGACAAACATACAGTTTTCACATCTAATCTATAGGTTACAATTGTTTTGACTGCCAGGTGCGTGTGTGTGTGCGTGTGTGTGTGTGTGTGTGCGTGTGTGAGTGTGTGTGCGTGTGTGTGTGTGACAGAAACAGAGAGGAAAAGAGACAGAGAGAAAGAAAGACGGCCAAGCAGACAAACAGACAGAGAGACAGACAGACACACAAAGACAGAGGGCATGACAGAGAGAGGGGAAAAGAAAAGAGGGGAAGGTAAGAGTGCAGAGTGGAAGGAGATAAAGCAGATGATAGGACAGGGCATAGAGAGATGTAGACAGCAAAGGGAGAGCAATTGAACGAGATGAGGGGAGGAAGATAAAAAGGGGAGGGGAGAAGGAAGGATGGAGGGAGAGAGAGAGACAGTAAGAGAAAGAGAGAGACAAAAAGACGGTAGTGGAGGATGACAGACAGAAGAGAGAGGGAGGGGGGGAGGGAGGAGGGGAAGATAAAGAGCACTAGAAACTGTCTTATGATGACCTTCAACAAAGTGAACATGCTACTACTTTGCACGTACAATCTTTTGATGGCTTGAGCTTATATAAACACACAAGTATAGAAGTATATAAACAAGGCTGTGCACTCAAAGATAAGACCATGACTTTGAGAGTCTTAAAGAGACCAAGTGATGATACAAGTACATCTCACTCTGTGAAGTAAAATAACATTCCCCATAAAGTTTACTATCAAAGAAATACCTTGGAATCCCTCAGAGTTTAGTCTACAAAACTAAACACTATCAGAATTTTATAGAATTCTACAAGGTATTGACACAATACTTTGAGAGAACACAGTACCACAGAGCGTACCATTAGTAAAACTGATGTTGTAAACAGCCTGCAAAACTGAATGATATCCCATTGTTACTAGTAAGGTGGACCCCCATTAAACCAAAAATAAGGGCCCGAGAAAGAAAAAAAAATAGCCAAAAACAAAGAAAGGTGCTGACCATGTTGAACTGCTCGAACTGATGTTGCAGAGCGTTGGTCTGCTGCTGCTGCTGCTGAATGTAGTATGAGTCGCTGAAGGTTGAGTTGACAGCTTGAGTGGTGGGGTTCAGCCCAGGGGACTGGGAAGGACTGTAAGAGGGGGCTGAATGGGGGGAGGTGGGAGACTGGCAGTTTGTTTCAGAGACCGCATTGTTGCGGTACTGCGTCATGGACGCCTGTGAAATACAGATAGAGAAAAAAAAACATTCTTCACTAGCTCTTTTGCCATTTGCCCTTTTACAAACACAACATTTACATAATGACACCCTGTTGAACTGTTATGCCGTGGTTTACAGCGAGTCAGCGTGACAACGGCCACATTTTGCCTGGAACAGATAAGGACAATAGCAACAATGATGAAAGATAACTAAATACCAAAATATCCACAAGCCACCCACTTCATCTTGACCTAGATAGAGTTCTGGTACTTCTTAGTGCATTTTGATATCATGTTGAGGGGACATTATATACTGTTATG